ATTTTAAAAAAAATTTCATAGAGACTATTTCAAGGTTAAGATTTTGATCTGCATTGTTGGTTTCTTTGTCTTGTAGCTGCTGCTGATATATTTTCCTAATTCGGTTTCGGGTTTGGTTGTCAGGATTGAGGGAGCAGAAATCAATAAGAGCCTCTTGGCTCTGAAGGAATGCATTCGTGCTTTGGACAATGATCAGATCCATATACCATTTCGGGGTAGTAAATTGACAGAAGTTCTCCGTGATTCTTTCGTTGGCAACTCAAGGACAGTTATGATCTCATGCATTTCTCCAAATGCGGGTTCATGTGAGCATACCGTCAATACCTTGAGATATGCCGATCGGTAAGGTCATTCCTAGTTAGTTGTTATGTTTTTTCATGTTCATTTAAATATTCTGACTGATGGCTGATTACTTAAATAACAGAGTTAAAAGTCTATCCAAAAGTGGGAATGCAAAGAAAGATCAGCCTGTCAATTCATTGCCTAAGGATTCTTCACTGGCATCTTCAGTGCCTATTTCCAATGATGTAGAAGATGCCTTTGAACAACCGCAGGAGGTGAAAGCAGTGGAGACGAGTAGAAGGATTATGGAGAAAGAAACTCTCTCTTATAATCATGCCGCAAGCCATCCATCTAGTTATCCCTACAATGGGAGGGAGGAAAGTGGGTTGACTTTGGGTTCGATGGATAGAGAGAGGTCTGAGATGAATAATTCTTATGGTGGTTCTTTTAGTCAAAAAATGCATTCATCATATTCCCAAAACACAGTTGATACAGAAGAGAAAGTACAGAAGGTTTCACCACCACGTAGGAAAGGACCAAAGGAAGAAAAATCGCATAAGAAAGATGGCAATGGATCTGATTTATTTAGCACAAACTCTAGACCCCAAAATCCAGTCAGTTATATCGCAAACAATGTTGGGTCCAGACAGAATGAACCTGAACCTGCTGCTGACGGAAATATCAACGCGATACTTGAGGTTTGTCTCTGCATTAAACTATCAATTGTTTCAGGATAAATGTGACCATAATTTCCCTTTTTATGCTTTTTACAGGAAGAAGATGCCCTAATTGCAGCTCACAGAAAAGAAATAGAGGACACAATGGAGATTGTCCGTGAAGTAAGTTGCGCTTCCCATTTTCTCAGTTGATTTTGGAATATTGCATTTCTAAGGATTTCTCTTGAAAATTTCATAACAAATTTGTTTGTTTGGTTACTTCTGGATGATAATGTACTATTAAGTAATAAAACTTCCATTTGTATCTTGTAGATTATGCTTCCCCTGAATTTTAAGAAACATGTAGATGCACATGATTTTACTTCCATTATATTTTGGAGCCTACTCTTATACTTTTGTTATCTAACGAGTCAAAAGAAAAATATAATTGTCATTAGTTCTCTAAACATGCTCGTTACCTACTTGAGTGGCGTTGATATGGGTTTTAGCACTGTGAATATGATGGTTCATTAATGCTTCTTTGTGCATTCAATCAATTAGTCCTGTTTTGAAGCATTTAGCTTTTTTTTTTTTTTTGTGTTTTGAAAGTATTTTTGCAACCAAAGGGGTAAAATAAAAACATGCTTTTGATAAAATCCAAAGCTAGATATGTATTTGATAGCTTTAAACACAAAATTTAGAATTTTTAGCTTTAGAAATGGTTTTGGATTTTAATAGAAATTTACACTTCAAATCTAAAAACTCATTTTCGCCAGACACCCAGTTTCTAATTTTTTAAATGACAGCACTTTTTACATTAATGTTTGTCAAGCACCAAACAACTTTTAACTAAAAATATTTTTAATGGACAACTATTTTAAGAGTAATTTAAAACCTCACACTACAAACTACAGTCGTCCCAAACACCCACTTATTATTATTAGTGCTATTATGGCTATTTTTTTTTTCTTATTTTTGGAGTTTTCTATCCAAATCATGTCTATTTCATTGTGCACCTTTGAAGTGTTTCTTGTTTGATGTTGCATTTAAATTGATTCTTTACTGTTCAGAATCATGCCTTCATTTGGTTGTCAGAGTATGTCTTCATTGATATTTCACTATTATTGCTGTTCATACGAGCTTTTAGCTTTTGAATGCTACTTTCTTTTTATTTACAACATAAAAATCATTTGCTTTGGGAAGTTCCTGTCATTCAATCATATTAACTGTTGAGCTCAAGACACTTTCCGAATATATTTTAAACTATTGTTACCATTGTCATCCTATCATATTAACTAGTAAATTGATTAAATGATTATTTTTTGTGACTGTTGGATGCCAGGAAATGAAACTTTTGGCTGAGGTAGACCAGCCCGGCAGCCTTATTGATAACTATGTGACTCAGCTGAGCTTTGTGCTTTCACGCAAGGCTGCAGGTCTTGTTAGTCTTCAAGCTCGTCTTGCCAGGTTTCAGCATCGACTAAAAGAACAGGAGATACTTAGTCGGAAGAGAGTTCCACGTTAAGGAAAGTTTGTGTTCCTTGTCATTGACTGCATCATATTCTATTCTGTACTTACCTCACATCACATGAGGAATGTTCTGTCGGTTTCTTTTTCCTTATTTTTTTCTTTTGTAAATGTCCCTTATGTGGAATTTGGTTATACCGGTCACAATATGGAAAGGGGGGTTGAGATTAGAAGGAGCTACTATGCTATGAGTGCGAATGTATTTGAAGTTTCGCCATGTTGCTACTCAAATTCAGGGTTCTGGCTAATTTGATAGTAGCAAGGGTTCCTGGCCTCTTACAGTTGTCAAAATGTATCAATTTAGAATAGTCTTGTGCTTTTGCTGAGATTTTTCATTGGTTTGTGCTATTTGGATATTTAATAGTGATTGGAAAATGTCTTTACAATATTCCTAGCGAAGCCAAAGGGGAATAGATGTTTATATTTGGGCATCCTGAGCTCTCACGCTGAGTTCACATATTCATCAATGCACTAATAGTTCCTAAATACATGGATCTCATTCTATCATCTTCAACTTCTAGAATGATTTCTAATCATGGCAATTAACTTCGGGATTTAAGTTTGGTATCTTACTTGGACATATTTCTTGTGTCTTTATAATTGGTTTCTGTTTTGTATCCATGGAATTCTGCTTATGTTTCTAAGTTTCGCAGTTTATATTTTAGTAAATACTCAGGTTTCTCAGTATCTTACATGAAGATCAAGATATTGTTATTAATAACCAATAGAAATTTTATTAGTCGGTTCCCGTTTATGTTACATATTATGGGATATATATATATGTTAAACTATTAATCAAATTTTGATACCATATTTGCTTATACCATTTTATAGGATTTGGTCGTCCGAATATTTAAAATTCCATTTCTAGCATTAATGCAAGCTTTGAAAATCCAGCAGGGGCCTCAACTGTACGGTACTAATTTGTAGTTCAATACGACCTACAAGTGAGTGGAACAGGACAAATTAGACTGCACTAAAATCAAATTATAACAAATATCTTAATTGAATCAGTTCAATCCGAAGTAATACCAATTTGATAGCTTTGGTCTTTCAATATCAGAAGTAGTACCATTAACTTTTTAGAGTCTGTTGATTTGATAATTACTGATTTTTAAGTTTTTCTCTTTTCTTTGGTTTATAGTTATATATATATAATGGTTTTTTCCAGTTTGGATCAAGACCGACCTATAACATCAGTACCTAGTATACTGGATCTGGGACCGACCCATATGGGATATATTAGTTCCGACTGAACACACTGATTCAATCAGATTTCAGTCCTGACTCGGGATTTGCTCTGTAACCAAGAGTGGCTCTTGTTGTTCTCTATAATCCAACAGTCAGGTTTAACAGAAGCATTATGCCCGAGGGAATTGTAGCACCACCCCTACCCAGGTATTAAAAGATTTGGCACCAGGTTATTAGACTCGTAAATAGAAGACTTAAAGAATTAAACTTCAGGGCCAGAACGTTGCTGGAGAACCAATTGAAATGTGAGGACGCATTTAAGTATCAGATCAAACTCTGGGACCAGTTTCACCAAAGCAAAACTGTTCCCTGCATAATAAGTATTCCTATATGCTGTAAACATAGAAAATTATCAAACTGAACATCAAAACCTCCGGAGACTAGCCCCTGTACTTACAAGAGTAGAATGCTGGTTGTCTTTTTAAAACAAGCCATGAAACTTTTTAGATTAGGCTACTCTCTCTTCGATGCACAAGAAAAGCCTGAAGAAATATGATGAATATGAACAACCTTCAGCTTCATCTAAATAAGAGATAAGAATTGTCACACTGCAAAATAAGTGTTCATGGATCGTGCTAAAAAGAAAAATTATTGCCAGACCTATGAAAAAAGGTTACCCAGATGAAAATTGTAACGTTAGAAAGAGGACTACTGCCTGGAGAAACAAGCTTTTTTAGCAAAAAAAAAAAAATTATAAACACAAAATCTAACAACTCAAATATAACTTTTTAAAATGAACCCACAGCTCATGGTTTGCAATTACATGGCATACGTGTACCACTAACTATTCCTGCCTCCTAAGCAATATTGCTAATAACTTCTCCTATCTCATATCAACTGCTGCAACCCTCACCAATCATACCAAAACTGTGCATAAACTACCTTAAAACTGTGCATTGGCCATCCCCCAATTGCTAGAAGTGGACCTTCTCTCTATACACAAGATTAATTAAGAATAAGAGTATAAATAAATATTCCCATTTGGTAACCATCATACTAAACATGCAGATTCACTACAAAATAGGTGCTACAACAATATTGGAGCAGCAGGATCATGCACTCTTTTTGAATCAATCAGCTCTCAATCTCAGAATCTCCTTTGCTGTCCTCAACCGAAAATATGGCATGTGTTCCTACAAGAAATTTGAGAAACAAAAGTCACTCCTCTAGTGATTATCCACAGGCTCCTCGAAGATCCACATCATGGTAGCATTAGATTAAATTTAGTTAAAATTCCAATTCCATTAAATAGGAATGAGTGTGATACAAATACGATAAAAAGTTTTATTTTAAAAAAAATATATGATAAAAAGCTGAATGAAAATAGCGTTATAATTCTAAGTTAATTCCATATCTAATTTCAAGAGTTTTTTGTGATTCCTTAGTTAACAATCAGGAATATAAATGAAAGGAAATGGAATTAAAATTGCGTCATTATATGCATATGACAAGAATGGAACTATTTAAGCAATTAAAAGCCATTTAGAGCTATTGAAGCAAGTAGAAACCATTATCTCTTTTTTTTTTTAAAAAAAAAGAGAGAAGCCATTTATCTCTTTACATAAAAGTAACTGTGGATCCTATTTCTCCCAGTAAAAACAGTAGAGAGGAATCTATTTATATCCCCATGTTTGATTCTTAGGTATAATACAAGTTTAAGGCCTGAAACATCACAAATTAGACAAATGAAAATTAAATCATTTAGGAGTAATATTTGATGTACCAAAGGTTTCCACTCGTCTTACCTGGTTAAAACAAAGCCCTAGACCTCTGCTATAAAAGTCAATATATTTGAGCATAAACATTCCACAGTCATACCTATAGCAATTGAAAAAAGATAATTGTCAGCGTGCTGAAATACCATACGACAATGTTTAGAGAAAAGAAAATTGCCATTTTGGAAGAAAATAAAAGATAAAACTAAACTTGGAACATGGTCATCATGGAGTTGGAAAACTTCTTATAGCATATGATTCACAAAGAAAAAATAAAAAGAATTACACGTGAAGATTACCTCCAGAAGTGATGCATACAAAATGACCAAATTGTCATAAACAGATAGGAACTATGAACAAAAAATTGTCCGAAGTGGCAAAAAACCCAATGATTTGAAAAACTTGAAGGAACAAATTTGATAATCATTAGGAGATTAACTTGACTCCCTGATTGGAAGTGATTCACATTGTTTCAAAGGCATTATATGCTTGCTTTCACAGTGTAAAATTTAATTGTCATTAGAAGAATAGCTAACTCTGTCTGACAAAAAATGATTCACATTGTTTTGGAAAAACATTATATGCTTTCCTTCTGTCAAATTTTATTGGCATTTGGAACCTATTAATCTACGTTAAATACTAATCTTTTTGAGAGGAAATCTACATTCACACAACACATACAAAGTAACAAATGTTTTACACTTTCTAGATATTCATAGGACAAAAATGTTAAGGTCCTCAGGTAATATTCTATTGGTTTTAGAATTAATTTCCTGCATATATTTTTTCCGATTAAATCTGAAAAAAATTATATTTTAGAAGAGTTTACAAATAATTTATTATTTCTTCATAAAATTTGGAGTCAGTATCATGTATCTCTCTCTATATATATATATGTATGTATATACCTTTTTCTATATTAAAAGGCCATAATTCACAAATAAATTTTTTAACTTTGTATGTTTCTTCTGGTAAAGTAATTGATATGTTTTAATTATAAATTTAATATGCCCATATCTCCTCCCTTACTGAACCTGCCACCAGCCAACTCACACCCAAGAAAGTATAGGCCAACAACAAATCTAATAAGCATATGAACACCAGATAAGAATGTGAGTGCATGATTCTGCAATACTCTTG